CTCTTTCTAACTTTTCAACAGGCACCCCAGTTTTTCAAATTTTATTATTAAGTAAGATAAATAATATTTAATACAAATATTGTATGAAAACTTTTTCTCTTATAGTCTTATTTTTTATAATATTTTAATAAATAAAAAAAAAAAATAATGATTAAAACGTAATTTGTTTTCTAGTAGTAAATAAAATTATCGCATTCAAATCATGATAGCCGGATTTAAATCTGATAAACAATCGTTTTAACATTTTTAACAAAAAATATAGTTTAAAAATACTAATGCCACGAGACATTTCGTGCGATTAACTCCGTATTGGCTGAAATATACATTGATAATAATACTAATGACAAAAAAAAAATCATAAGATATTATATTTGAAATAAAAAGAATACCGGCCTAAGATACAGAAATTCGTCTGCGATATCGGTTTAAAATGAACGTTATACACCAGTATAGTTTTTTGACCCACCTAGCGATATGGATCGATTTATATTGGTATAATCCCCTCTTTTACAATTCTCTTCATCGAGCATTTATTCCGTTATCAGATTATCAAAACATAGACTACCATCAAATATAATAATAGTATTTTAAGTATTTGTTATTATCATTTACAATACGATTTCAATTTTATTTTCGAATTTCTTGGTATACCGGTATAAAACAATATTCGGCACACACATACCGCAATATAAACTATGATACATAAGATACTGAAATAATTAATTGCGTGCACCGGCATAACTATCAAACAAATTTCTAGATAATATAATACAAGTCATCATAAAATAAGAAAAACTTCATTATTAATCGACCCAATCAGATAGGGAGTTTTTCTATATCTCTGAAGGTAATGTCCATTTTAAATTATATTAATTTATAATATTTTTCTGTTACTCTAAGCTGTTATTATTCATAAACGGTAAATTAGTGTATTATGTTTTATGTTCACATTTTTAAAACATGATTCACTATTCGAATCTGTGTTTACAAGTGCGTGAGGGTTCTTTATTGAAAACCAATAGTATATGCATACGTTTTTAAGTTTTAAGAGGAGTAGATGTAAAAATTGAAAATTGTGTTAAAATAAAGCGCAAACGATAGTATATGATTGGAAAAAAATAACAAAACAAATTTCATTTAAAATCCTCAGATAAAAAAGAAAAAAATCAATGCTTCATGATAAATGGATCACTCAGCGACTTTTTTTACATAATTTCTCACCAAATCGTAATCGAAAAAAAGGTACGAAATCAAAATACTAAAAGTATACATTTATTATTATTACTAGGTCTCTATTATTATAACAATAAAACGTACATTCAAATTTCAATAAAACTAAAACAACGCGAGTTTTTATTATTGTGGCGTAGTACGTAGAGGTGTAATTAATTGTTTGTATATATTATTGTAAGTACCTGCAATTATTAATAACTTTCACTAAATTAAAAAAAAAAAAATGTTCCCATTTAAAAGAAAAAAATAAATGGTTGTGGAATATTATTATAATATATTGAAAAACTACCGCGTGTAGGTAGGAACTCGCTTTCTTTTAAACGGTAAGAGGAACGGGAAAATACTATGGTTAAGAGCTTGGGGGGAGTTTAAACACTCCCCAAAACTCGGTCAAGCCCCAAATCAAGTCCTTATCGAGTAAAGTAACCATGTGTACAGTATAATCAATATTAAACAATATTTCGTGGGCTAGACCTCTACCCTAACCATGAAAAAAAAAAAGAAAAAAATGTTCGGCTTATTTGTGCCTACGCATATTAAATAATACACTGAAAAACATATATTTTATTGGGAGTTGACATTTTCTTCAACGGTAAAATAAGCAAATATATACGTTGTAGGTGTAAATAATGTATAATGTCACGAAATAATAATGTAAGATCACTGATATTATCTTCCGGTTTTTTTTCTTTTTTTATATCTACATAATATAAAATATAGGTAACCGGGTAACGCATGTGTGTAGTTTGCGGCGTAGAAAAGTAATTAAACGAAAATATAAAAAAAAATACGAAATATGAACTCGCGCGCATGACCTTATAAGGGCCAAGTCGTGGTTTATGATTTTTTTTTTTTTTTGTTAAATCGTTACCTTTCGACCAACACACGGCCACATGGGGCCGTTTTTACCACTTTATCGTGGATACCCTATTACAATATCCAAAGTAGGAAATTACACATAATATTATAAGCTGTTCGCTGTAGTTGCAGCTCGGCGTGTTTCAAATCGGTTTTACACGAACAAACACAATGCGCAATCACGCGAGAAACGGTTTTTTTTTTAAAAATAATATTTGAAAAAGATAAATATTACGCAACACCCCGGCTTTCCGCTGCAGTGTTTCGATCTGCACACTTTCGGATTGCCGAGATAGAATTCGATAAAAAAAAAAAAAAAAAATATTCCTAATATATCCTTAATCTAAATACGCAATTTCACAAAAATTACGAAACGCGCGCGCGCCTGCGATGCGATTAATTGCTTTTTTTTTCCAATTCGATTCGACAAAAAATTTCAGAAAACAACGTTATCTATACGGATGAACACTTATAATAATCCCCGTATCGTTACAATGTAAATAAGTACGTAATTAAATTTTCCAAATATTAACAGCACGCGACTTTTTCCGCCGAATAATATGGAATTTCGGTACAGTTATGAAAATAAAGTAATAACATTTTATATTTGAAAAATAAACGAATTTAATAATAAGAAATTATTACATAACACAATTAACAATTAAGTATCTAGTAAAAAATCGTTCTATATTTCGAAAGAGCGGAGTCAAAAATAGCCAGTGGCTACAATATGCGCGAAAACAAATAAAGCGAAAAGATACAATGATATAGGAAGGTTATCAAATATATTTAGAGGATACCTACATATGTATGTTAAAGAGATTTCATTGTGCAACATATTCGAGGAATATGCCAATTTAGATCGATTTTTTGTTCATCAGATCGATACATCAAAAATGATAACATTTCTGGAAACAGGTTTGAATTTAGTGTGAAGTGTGCACAGGACATCGACCAGGTCACTTTTTCGAATTTCAGTAATTAATTTCCGGATATTTGAAAACTTTTCAATATATACTAGGATTAAACCTTTTTTTTTTTATTGGTATTATACAAATTTATAAAAAATATATTTAAATTCTGTTATTTATTATGTTTACAATCAACAAATGTCATAACAGGAAAAAAAGTATGAAGGCAATAGAAATGGGCAGTCGTCCACTAGCATCACCCCTAGAGAATTTGTGTAAAGTAAAACCTTTGTACATATACTTAGTTAAAGTTTATATGTTTGTCACTAGTTGTTGTATATCATTTGAAATTATTACCTACTGAACTACTAAATGTTTACTGTTATTATTAGTTAGTAGATCACATAAAATTAAAACATTTAAAATTATTATAAAAAAAATTTGTGAGTTGCCATTTGTTTTTTTATTTTAACCCTTAGATATTTAAAATATTAAAATATTAGAAAATATCGTACAATCGTATATGATTAAATAAAATTCTACCAGTTCCCACCGAGTCTACTCGTTAATATAATTTAGTATTTTGCTGATTGTGATACTGCATCCAGGGGTAAGTCACTGTTATAAAAATTGATTCTGAGAAAAGTAGTTTTCTCCTTTGTTGCTAACGTAACTCTGCAGTAAATCACAACAACAAATGGACTTTGAGAGAGAACTGCTAAAATTGTCCATAAATCTGATAAATATTTCAAACAAAGTACCATCAGGAGTAAAATCCGCTTCATTTAAGATGATGGGGAATGGAAATCTGAGCATTTTTACGAACTGTTCGTAAGTGTTTTCCGAGAAAAAAAAACCACATCTCCGTGAAATTAAATAGCTTCTCTTCGAGTACACTATACATACAGAAAAATTATGGTTGGGTAGTACAGAGTATTTTAAAATTATATTTTAAGTATTATACTAAAATCCTTTAAAAAAAAATTTTTTTTTGTACAACACTGAACCGACGCGCCGCGACGCCACCACACAAATACATAACAATGTAATAAATTTATCATCGCACACTCATTCGACCGGAAAATATAAATACAAACGTAGGCACGCAGTGTAATAACACTAAAAAACACTAAACCTATATCCAAGGGGTTTATTTTTTATTATGTATAGTATACGTATAATATTATACATAGACTTTCTATAATATGTTGAATTTTTAACACGGGTTGAGGCATAACGTTTTTCCCAACGTAGTTATATATGCACTTTTACGAACAAACACTCGTAGAAGTTCCATCGTTCGATATTCGTTTTGGTTTTTACGATAATTTTTCATACAGTTTATTATGTGCGACATACATCTAACGCAATTTGTTGTATTATTATGAATATTTTATTAACGATTATTTGTGCTTAGCTCAAAACCGAAAAATCCATTACTGAAATACATGAAAAATGAAAAAAAATAGAAGTAAATTTTTTTCCTTCTCCTCCGACGACGATGCGGGCCGACCCGCAGGTGTGTTAGTTTATTCGCGCCGATAACGATTATTTTTTTCACGCGCATTTGCACCGTGTTATTTTTTGCAACGGCACATTATAATATTATGATGCAATAAATTAATTGTAATATGATAATTTTCGCAGAAGCTAATTTTTTTTTGTAGTGTTTAATGCAATGGCTGAAATTGTACGCGACACAATATACGCGAACATATTGCAATTCGCGTCACGTTAATAAATACCGCCGTCGTTATTATAATACACTGTATTGGCGAATTTCGATTAAAACTACTATCAAAAGGTTGGCAGATATTTTATAATAAGGATAATTATACAGGCACGCCATATGTGTGGGTTAGAGATGCCGTTTAAGCTGCGCAATAATTACACCGAAGCGGGCGGTATAATAGCTGCTGCAGCAGGAAACAAGAAGCGCCAACTCGATTATTATTATAATACAATATTCGTATATTATACTTCACGCGACTATACCGTACCTACAGTTTCGTTCACTACCGTCAGTGCCCCCGGAAATTAAGACACACACACACACACACACACACTCACTATATAACCGGTGACGATTTAGTAATATTTTAATTATTATCAGAGATGATCGTCAGCTATATACATATATATTATAATAATACGAAACGATATTACAATATATAGGCGTGGGTGATACGGCAGGAGTGGCAGAAGTAAAACCGAGAATTAATGTCGACCGGCAGGCTCGAGGAAACGCACAAGAACAATATGCGACAAACGAGTTCCAGTATAAGACTTATGATGAGAACATTTTATAAAACAGCCATAAGACAACCGCAACTTTATTGTACGGAGTTAAGTGCCGGGCGACCAATAATTAAGTGGGCGCAGACTATCCGCGTGAACGGAATGAAAATGTAACGACGGTTTAGACTGTTAAGATTGTTAAGATTGTAACCATAACTGAGAAAATAATAACGACATTTAGCGATTTTCGAAATTTAATCTTATTGTATTGAAAAATTTACAAGATTGACTCAAGTTTCTCTACTCTGGGACAAGAAGATACTATAAATATAGTAATTTTAATACAAATCACAAATTATATTTTCTATTACGTCTGCACGTTGGAGGTATGTAGTTCGCTACATGTACCTAGTACCGACCCTTATTCAGGTTTAAATTACGAGCCCTGCATCTTTTACTACCAGCTGCGATAGTACAGCAAATTGCACGTCCTTATTTTAGCTCGAAAAAACAGACCCCCGGTTTTTCGAGCACAAATACAACGGACACAATGCCAAACGGTACTTAGAAATGTATATTTATTGTGTAGACGTTTCGGCGTGGGATCGAATAAATAAAATTTCACCGAATTCGGGGTTTTTATTGTGTGTCACTATAGTTTAATATGGTCTCGGTTAAACGGTTACATTTAGCAGAGGTGCGCTCAGCAAAAACGACATTTCAGGTTACGACCTATACTATATATGGTAGGTAATATAACAATCGTAAATTCATTAAACACTGTTTGAGTTTCAAAAAAAACAAAAAATAATAATAATGTCAGCACATGGTGGTGAACACAAAACGCCACGCAAGTATAGCAAATATCCGTAAGTGTATCTATTTATTTATTTATTTATTTTTTTTTTTTTTTTAAGCTACTAAAATCATACAGCTCGACAGTTGTTAAATTATGATAAAAAAAAAAAAACGAAAAACAATTAACAATAATAATGTTATAAATAAAAATAACGACAGATATTAAATAACGAAACCAACTAAGTAAAATAAGGTATATAGTTTGGTATATAGGTATAAGTGTATCTAAGTGTATTAAATAATATTATGTCCGTGTTTTTCCGTAGTTTAACGATTATTATTTTTTAAATAAATGAATTTTAATATTATTATTTTTACACGTACATGCAGTGGCAATTAACAAGCCGAGACGGCTTTGAAAAAAAAAAAAAAACAGCTGGATATCAAAATAAAAAAAAGATAAGACCTCTGCAGCAGTAGACGAATCAGCTGGCTAAAAAAAATTATAATAATAATGAATAGGTTCGTATAAAATAATGACTTGAAACTGGAAAAAAACCGTCACTGGCGTCACAACTATAGTATAATATTTTCATAACGAATTTTTGAGTATTTATACAATCGACTGTAGGAAAAAAGTCATGATTTGTATACAAGTTTCATTAAAATTTGAATTTTAAACACTTATAAAAACAAACAAAAAATAACGACACTACGCTCAACGTTTTCCTTTTTACCATCAAGTATTATCAATATTACTATGTAACACTATATTTATTAATGCCATTGATTACATTACGGATATCCCATATGGTATAGGGATATTTGGCTACCACCTGTGTGATACATCAGTCGCTATGGAGCTCTATTTACAACGGAATCAATGGTAACGATTCTAACGCTCCATAATAACCATTACATGAGCTATCTGTCTATTGTAAATGATAATACTATATTTATATAGAAATTTAAGCACATCAAATTTAGTTATAAGGCGTTTTACGTCAAAAAGTTGTACACGGATAACCCAAAAAAATCACACTATAATAAGTTTTACTAGAGTACGCGTCACGAAAATGAGCGCTTGACTACAGCGTGCCGAATGACGATATTTCTAAAGCCAGTGGGTCTCAATATTTATTCCATTACAGCTGCTAGTTACTGCGTATGCAATTACGATTTCCCGCGACAAATTTTAAATTTGGCGCGTAACTGTATGCGACCATTATTGAGAAACTGTCACGCGGCGCGCTGCAGTCAAGCGCACGTTTTCGTGACGCGTACTTGTACCACATTCGCTCAGAATCCAAAAATTGAAAAAAAAAAACCTAAGTAAATACAACGAGCACATCGCGACCCTCCACATAGGGCCGAGGGTTCTAAAAATACAATACACAATTAAAATTACACAACGTTCGTCGACCGTTATACCCGGGGGCACGTGGTCCACGACTTCGGCGGTATAAACCCAAGAAATCCTCGTCCAAAATCCCCTTCGGTACCGATCGCTCGTAAAATAAAATTAGATTTATGTACCTAATATACCTATACAACACACGTCCGAGGTCCATGAGGTCACACACGCTCCGTCGACCTTTGAAGGTGTTTTTTTTTTGTTTTTGTTCATTTATGCATTATTATAATTTACCGAACGTGGCTACGGATTTTAATAATGATTATTATGACCGCGAGAGATTTTTCGATTTTTCGATATTTCAACGAAACATACATACAGACGCAGACACACCTGCACACAGACACACACACACACACACACACACATAATATACGATTATTTCGTGAATTAGGCGTATTATAATATTATATTACGAGCTAAATACGTGTGTGTGTTTTTATTCTCCATAAACGCGCGTGGGAAAAACGTATTTTCGGGACACTAACTTACACGCCGTGTTTAATTCGGTGGATGTAAAATCATAAACACACGAATAAAGAGTTTAAAAATAATAATTTTAATTTGCAAAATATTACAATAACGTACATATTTTTTTTTTATTGCTTGCTTACCGATAAATATTTAATAGGTCGGGCTAATTGCATATTTGCATTGATAATGTATGAAAACATTATCAATAATAATAACATTATATGTATAGTTTATGGTGTATAATATTATGATTGTAAATATGTAATTAACGTCTATTCACCATATGGTACACACAGATGATGCACGCGTATAATGCCTTATGAACATAATATTATTAAAATAAATCAAATTGATAAAAAATATAGAAAAATCAATTTAATAGCCGATAGGTACGGCAAAGTGACCGTCTCTCGTGTAGTTAAATGTTAATATTAAATTTTTTTTTTTTATTAATTGGGTTTTGTACCTTTATTTTATTGGTATATATTATAGGTACCTATAAAATCATAAATTATAATATGAACTTATAAAATACGTCATCTCGGGGAGAGATTAGCGTGACATGTCTTCGTTCTAACAATGCATATTGATAATATTATAAAAATGAAATATCGTTTTTACAAATATTGAAATTTTTAACTACCTATTATTTATTATTATATTAAACTGTGTTCTTCGTAATCCATAAATCGCACACCTTACACAAATTTACATTCAATAAAAACTTTTTATGCAAGTATTGATTTTTTTTTCGACGTTGAAAAAAACCACCAAAGTTCATACCTAAGTAGGAAGCAAGAGAAAAAAGTTTAAAATTCGTATATCAGTATTACAATATGAACAACGGAATGGGCGTATTATAGAATTAATATTAAAACTGATAGATATTGGCTTAGAGAGAAAAAATATTTAATACACCGTACTACTACAATACACTCGTGTCTGATCTGTTGTGGTTATGGCAATAAGTGTTTGGATGTTTATCCAAAAACCACAGAATAAGGTATAATTATTATTATTATATATACTAAAATATAAGAATACCGTATAATAAAATTGCAGAGATAACAATAGTTTAGTGTTCAAAAACGTATTAAACGGCGAAAATAAAACCGTACTGCGATACAGACAGCGTATATGATAATTAAAAAAATGTACTGGTGATATTGTAAAAAAAAACCTATGATTCATTCGATTTCTATTTTTGTATACAATACAAAGGAGTACAGCCTAATAATAATAAGCACCTATCTCAAATAAGAACAGTATGCATGGAAAAGTTTGATAAGAAGATGAAACCTAACCAAACCTAACCAAACGCATTTAGACCGTGATGGCACGATTGATATTTAGTAACTAATACAAACGAATATATATGTATATGCAATAAATGTATTACATATATAATACAAATATAAAAACCTTTAAACTGATAATTTTTAAAACGACTGACTATATTGAACATCTACAATTTTATATACTGTAAACCATAACCCACATACCCGCATTGCCCCTGTGGCATAGACTAATTTAAAACAATTTTTAAAATTTCGAGAGGGGGGACTGAAGCCGATCACCAAAAATAAGAACCCAAAAAGCCGCAAACATGTAAGCTAAGGATTTATAATATTAATTTCGCGATCTAATATTGTTTTTCTGACAAACTCTTTAAAACGACTTACCCATGGGAGACTGAGCGCATATGGCGGCAGGTCTGGTGGCTGTCGTTTCACGCAAAGACAAGGTGTCCGCGGTCACGTCGTCCTCGTCTTCGTCCTCGTCCTCTTCCAGCAGAACAGGTGGTTGATTGATCAACTCGTAACCCCATCGTTGCCGAAATTTTTTTGCTCCACCATCCAACCGAACCCGGGGTAGATCAACAAACAGCGAATCACCAATCTACAAAAATGGAAGATCAACAAATATAGTATAATTATTGTCACGTGCAGACGTGAGGATCAAGGCAAAAACAAAATAAAATATAAGCGAAGGATTTCTACAATTTTCTAGAAAAGTTTTTTCATGGTAGTTAAACTATATCCACCGCAGTCCACAATAATATGTAGAAGTATTTAAATCCCTTAATTTTAAAATTCCGTAACTTATATATTATTATATTTTGACTAGGTTAAGTTAGAACAAAATTTTTTAGTTAGGTACCTATAACCTAGTTATAAATTATAATATAGTTAAATTCAAATCGTCACTTCAAAATTTAGGCCTTGGAGTGAAATTTTAAAAAAGGGCCCCCT